TATTTATCGTTTTCTAAACGGGATAAAGAGAGGAGTTTCATTCGTTCTCCATAAGACAAAATGAGGTAAGTAAAAAAAACTTATGTCTGAGACTCATTCAGGTATTGCTCTCTTCATTTATTTAATACAGAGTAATATATAATGTAGATTTATTAGATCAATTTAATGAGATGTAATATAGTAGACAAGGGTTCTCGAATTTTCAATTTATTTTGAAGTAGGTACGATAAATATGTAGTGAATATAATTGTTAACTAGTAATGATAAAGTTGGACACGCAATTTTAAATACCTTGGTTACTTTATTTAAAAGTATCTGTCCATAATATAACATTTTAGGAGCTTTTAAATTGAATTTATTTAAATTAACCTTCAGGATTATTCTAGATTAGTGAATTAATGAAAAATATAATATTATATTGATGTAAATACCTAATGAACACGTGTAATTATTAGGTTTATGTTAATGAATTATAGATAACAGATTCGCGTTAGAATTTTCGCTATGGTGCCGCTCTGACCACGTACGAGAAAGTGATAGGTAACCCTGCCACTTCAAGCACACATTTGCGCGTGTGCAGATAGCGCCTTGCTGTATGTAGTAATAGTAGGTAAATAACTTTCGACTGTTGTTTGGAGTGTCCGGGGTGTGTCTCAGAGGGATGGGCGTAGTGACAGTGCCCCTCACATCTTTACGATTTGAAGCTTTTATACGTACTTGTTGCCGATCATTGTTTTGGTTTTTAACGACTTTTTTGCCATAGCGCCATCTGTGAGAAATCTATTTCTTCACTCAGCTTACAGCTACCAGCAGCGGACTAGAGATATCGCTTTAATAACTGTAATTACAGTTATAGATCTTTATATTAATAAGAATAGTGTATCCAACAAATTGAACTCTAATCCGACTATTGCGATTATAGCGGGAGGGATGGTTCAACTGTTAGATACCTGTTAAGTTTTAAGTCAATTTAAATTGTCATTGTTATACAATGTAATTAAATTATAAACAGGAGAGGTTTATGGTAATAAAAAATTATTTACATAAGTGAATATAAAATTCAAAGTGTCACTCACAGCAAGTGACATGTTCCGTTTCTTGTGAAAAAGTTCGTACTGGGAAGTACTGCCACCTTACCTAGTTCTGCCGCCAACCATTAATGTGAGCATTACTGTGGTCCGTTTTTGAAGGGTAAGGGTGCTGGTGAAATTACAGGCACATGAGACTTATCAACTTCTGTCTCAGGGTGACGGGCGCAGTGGCAGTGTCCCTCATATTTTTGTGATTTAAGCTTTGAGTGGCACTGCAACTGTTATGCACAGGCGAGTCGCTTACCACCAGGCGCACGACTCGTTCGTCTCGTCACTTCTGGCGCATTTACACCGGGCCGTCTGCCGACTTCCGGCAGACTACTTCGCCTGCCGAAGGAGACGGCAACGCAGTCGTCTACACCTTTCCGAAGGCGTCGACGCATGTAGTCGCTTCGGTCGTCTTCGGGTGCAAACTACCGTTGTCAGACGACTCACTATTTACACTGGATGACTTGCCGCCCTCAGCGGGCAAGCGAAGATCGCCTGACAACTTGATGTAAATACTTAATTGTTAGTCATAAAAAAAGTACCATATCTTAGGAAATAAAACTACTTATATTTTCCGAATCTAAATATTATATTTATTATAGTATATTTGTTTTTTCAAACTATCCAACGTTTCTATATCTTTCTAATTTGTGCTTCATTACGTCGTCTTCAGACTGTTCGTTGGCCTCAAAGAATATCACAACTATTCTAAATATATATATTTTCAAATATGATTCTGAATAAAACCGTAACACAAATAAATCTTGTGAATCCAATGAGTAAAATTATGTTTACAGCTTAGTGAAATTACTCTGAAAATGTTTGTTGAAATGCTCGTAGAAGATAAGCGTATATTTAAGTAAGTACGTGGAAAAACGAATTTCGAAATAGCAATCAAAAACGAAATAAGTATCTCAAAGCAGATAAAGTCCTAAAATCTTCAGCAATAAACGGATAGGTTTACTTAAACCCTTCGTTTGATTTTTATTTATGAAGTACGTACTTAGAGAATGTTTTTAGTACGCTTTCATAAACTAAAACCGCGTACCTAATTACATAAAATTACAACTTTTTATAAAGGTCTTATGTTCAATTGGTAGGTATTTAATTCTTTCATGAGAGTTACGTGTTTATAAAAAACCTACTTTTGTGGTTGGTACGAATATTGAAAATTGTCAATTTTTTTATCTAGATGCTTATACTTATATAATAAATTCAAGACGTAATAAACTTAAACTAAGAATTTATTTGTGTAATAACTTTAACTACAAAAAACCCTCTAGGTATTCAAAGGATTCATTTTTGACCACTATGAACAAACATTGTTGGTACCTACCGCTTTTTTATAATAAAAGAAATCCTTAAACGTAATTATAGGAATCCTCCCCTGAATAAAGTAAGAATCGCGGTTTCGGGTATATTAAAAATAAATGTAAATATAAGACCTCAAATAGACAATATCGTTATGTGTTTAATTTAGGTACCTACTTTACGATATAAACAATAAACTATTTATTGAGGATTTTAAATAATTTGGTTCAGGTTTCGAGAACATACCTATACCTACCTACGCAATAGTAGCAGGTTTTCACAATAAAAGACGCAATTAAATTTGGGAACGTATTTAAAATTGAAATATCATGAAGCCCATTGAAGCCCATCTTCTTGTTGAAGTTGGGTAATGTTCCGAAATTGTTCAAATAGTAGACATTTTATCGGAAAAATTCCCGTATAAATTGAAAATTTTGAAATATATTGGAAAAATGTGTATAATTTCCAAAGCACATATTCTACGTTTAGAATATAATTTTATCTTTTGAAATTTTCTGTAGCGTGAATTTTTTGTAAACTTGTTTATCTAAAAGCGACATAGAAGAAAAACAAGATTTAAAATGATTTCACATTCACAACAGCGAAAAAACCTCTAACAACTACACTACCACACCCTGTTGTTAGAGGTGGACGTTTAAACGATAAGCACGCTTTTCATAAGCGTACGTGACTGGTCAGTTCTATAGATACTCAACAATTTCATTTCCTTCAACGTCTGGTACGTTACGTAAGTTTGAAGTAGCGCCGTCTATGTTTCATAAACAAATTAATTCAACATAACGTTGCAAGCTTTTTTAAACATAAAGTCTAAGCGCTTAAACGTATTTCTAAACGACTTTTTAAGCGTAAAACTAAAATTAAGTGAAAATCGCTTTTACAAACACGCTTTTTAAACATACGTTTCAACGTGAAAAAAATAAGCAGTTTTTCCATTTCAACGGTTAACAATTACAAAATTTAAACAACATATGTTTTTGAACGCTTTTAAACGCCAACGAACAAAATGTTAGTATAAAAATGTTGTCTTAAATAAAAATATAACTCGTTTTTTACAAAAAAAAACTTACTTATCTTAAAACCTTTAGTGGTCTACTCTTGCGTTCACTATCAGCACGACGTTGCAAGCTTTTATTTAACCGACTTTAAAAAAAGGAGGAGGTTCTCAATTCGTTCTGTATGTTTTTTTTGTGACATGATAACTCCGCCGTGTGTGAACCAATTTTGATGATTCTTTTTTTTGTTGGAAAGATGTTACCTCAGTTGTGGTTTAAATTTCAAGTTTGTGTAAATTTCAAGAAAATATTCCACCTCTAAGGGTGACAAACTAGGGGATGAATGACTTTTGAGGTCGGTGTTTTTAACCGGAGGTTAGGTTAGTTAATATAAAAGTCTATGCGCTTAAACGTTTTAGAAACGATTTTATTAGTTTCAAACTAAAAAGAGTTTTTTTTATTAATAATTTTGGCTTGGATACAAGTCCTTTGAGCCATGTCTTCGTTTAATTATGTTTCTGTAAATATGGCCGCCACAAAGAGGATAGGCAATTTGAGACGGCGTGCTTGGATTGACTCGGGATTCCTTAGATCGGGCCGATACGGGTATTTTAATTCGAGATTCGTATAATTTCGCGTTTTAATCTTCGATTAAGGCACAATAGCACTATCCTATTACACTTTAAACTAGATTTCACAAAATAATTGAAAGTCAAAATAAAAACGACACTTTTCCCTCCAAAAGGCCCAGAGCGAATCTCATAAAAAGCGTTTAAGTGAAAAAGCGTTTAAAAAAGCACGATTTTTATGTCAACGTCAAATGTACAAAAATAAAGGAAAAATATTCGGAAAAATATTCATTTTTCTGTAAATTACTGTGCTTTGAAAAAATGGAAATTGTTCTATGACCCACCATGAACTTCTTTTTTTTCCATCCTCTAAGCCATGAACACATCAACAATAAAACACAACACTATATTATAATCTGCCTGTTACAATAAAAAAGAAAATGGCGGGCTTTTAAAGTTACAAGTACAGCCTTTACAAAGATTATTTTTATTTTGAGTATATTATGAACAAAATATGAAGAAAGAAACAGTGATGAAGAAAGTTAGAACTATAGGGGTATAGTTCTTACTTTTTTCATCGCGCTATCTACTTTAAACCAAATTACAAAAGACTTTATCGTACAAATTCCAATAATTACGAATTCAAAGTTTTTGTTCAAAGTGTTAGAAGATATTGTGATTTAAGTGAAAGTGAAAACATAGGTATTGACTCCCGCCGCTTAAGACTATTTAAAAAACCGAAATAAGTGAACTAAGTTATAAAGGAGAAAGTGAAAACCATAGATTGGGTACCTATATACTAAATCTATGGTGAAAACATAATATATTAGAACCACGATTAAGAATATTACTAAGGATCCCGATAATTAAAAGAAGACATGGCTCAATATCTTATATCCAAGCCAAAACTCTTAATAAGAAAAATATTTACAAAAATTATCTGACGTTTGGCTTTGACAGCTTTTTTTTTTAGTGGTGAAATGAGACAGTGACAGGGAGTGAATTTGACATGATTGACACTTGACTCCCACTACAAAATACTTAATGCAGATTTGGGAAAGAAATCCTTTTAAAATCTGTAACTTGTGGAATCGAAATCCATTACGATGGCTTCAACATCGAAAGACAATGTTCCAAACAAAAGTAAGGCGAAGGACGCTGAAGGAGATGACCTAGAACCTGGAGCGTGTCAAGAGAGTGTTTTGAACCCTTCAGACTCCTTTGAGGAGTTCGCTAATGAGATGAGCTCGAGTCTCCTAGACAGAAACAATCTTAAGGCCACTCCGAGTACTATAAGCGAGATACAGAGTGAAATCGGAGATAGTTCTAAGGATTTGAAAACTGCGAAGTCCAGTGATGATTTGCAGAGTAAAGACGTAAGTTTTAATCTGTGTACAATGGGTGCACCATTTTTGTTGACCAGTTGTTCACTCTCAGAAGTAGACCAATTTTGTTATATAATCTCTATTTACGTATTTGTTTATTATAAATACTATCGCCCCCGTAATCTTAGCACTACATACTAACCTTTTGTACAATCTTAAAATACATTTCAAAGCTTCAGCACAATAACATATAAATCTGATAAACTTCGATTCCAATTTCGTCTAGTCTCATTAAATGGATTTGTTGCTTTGTGTTCAGATCTGTGCATTTGAAAGGTATTTTGGAAAAGAAATTACCAGTTGCTGTTCAGGTTGGATAAATTATTCAAAGAAACACACAAAAAATACTGTTTAGCATTAAAAAAAGAACAAGTCAAAATGTGTTCTTTTTAGTTTTTGTTCTGGCGCTCCTCATTTGATCTAGCCTTTATTGAGAATCCATTACACATCATATCTCACATTTGAAGAGCTTTTAAATGTGATACTATATCAATAAATAATGCACCCTTCAATTGAAAAATGAAGGAGTGCACATATCTCTGTTTATCTCATTACCATATTAATTGAATATTTAAAGTAGTTTGGCACTGCAATTTTTTTCATTGTGTTTCAAGTGTATTATGTCAAAATTATTCTGCACATTCACTTTGTAGTAGATTCATGCTGTTATGTACTTGCATAACTGTCCATTGGGGTAGGATATGACTATGGGCTTGTTCTATGTGGAGTATACTATTGGAATATTTTTTTCATATTACACATTTTGTAAGTGATAAATTGGACATGTCTGCTAGAATAAAAGTGCAATGGTTTTTACACAATTTTTTTTATCAGGCTATTATAATATTCTGTTTTTATATTAACTGTCTCTTTGGCTGAACAATTACTATGCTGGACTGCCACGCATACGTCTTGGGTTTGATTCCCAGGCCGGGAGGAATATTTGTATGGCCTAAATTTATTTCTCTCGTGAGTTTGGGTGTAATTTGTGGTTGTCTATGTGTGTGGCATGGGGCACCGGGTTTCCCTAGTGCAGGGCTTTAAAAAATATATTATGTATTATAAATATCCTCCTCAATTTTCATGTGAAAGAGATAAATAATCTATTTCAATATAACTTGAAGATTCTAAGAAAACATGAATATAAATTACAAATAGAAAACACACATCTAAATTTTTTAATTTCAAATAAGTACAATCAAAAGTACAATGTAAAAATGCAGATTAATTTGTTTCCTTTCTTATCGTCATACATTTTTTAAAATAAATCCATCTGGTGCAGAGTTAGTGGATGTTTTGATAATACACATTTCTACAGTGAAGCTTTCAAATTGTCAACCAATTGGTGCAAAATACCTTGTTTACTCAAGATTTTGGTCATGTTACACCAATTGTATTCTCAAGAACATTTTATACCTACTTATTACAATACAAAATGTGTTTACTTATAAGTGGAAAAGTTTGAATTGACCATTAAATATTTATTTTCATCCAAATTCAACCAATAAATTTCAGGAGACAATGTCTGGTTCAGCAAGCAGCTCAAATCTGTGTGAGCAGAATGGAGATGATTCAGATGACGAGAAAGATGACTATTTGCAGTCACCGGAGCTTGTCAACAAGGAGAAGCACGTGTTCATATTGAGTTCTGCAGGAAAACCTATTTATTCAAGGTAAAACATGACATGATAGGTACCGTTCTCCAGATACTATATCAACTAATCAAATCAAGTATCTCTTAGCCCTCTTTACGTTTCAACCACCAATATGCAAGATTTTGTTCACAGTTGTATCAATTTAGTAAATAACCCTTTGGTTCATACCATGGACTAATAACTCTATAGGGCTGCTAATAGTTTTAGCACCTACTAGTGCACCAGATGTCGCGACGAGTACCAAATAGCTATTTTTGTAACTAATTTGCTTTACATTGATAAGCTGTAATTTATCAAAGCTACTCTAATTTCTAGTAATAACAAAACAAATCAACAAGATGGCGCTTGTTGCATAGATTTTTATTGATAGTGCCAGCTATTCTGTTATTTTGTTTAGGATTAGCGCCATCTATCCATATTAAGAAGCGTTAATTTATAATTTAGTTTGTAACACGCAATGCCAAGTTCAGAAAATAATTTTAGCTCATGATATTTTGAACAATATTACAAAGAAAAAAACTGAATTAAAGAGGATTTAAATGATATCCATGGCCGTACATTTACATAATATAAACTACTTCGAGGCTGCTCAGCAGCGCCATCTACATAATATTTGAGACGGAATTTGGACCTTTCTAACCGACTTCAAAGAAGGAGGAGGTTCGCAATTAGACTATATTTTTTTCGTGTGTGTGTGTGTGTGTATGTTACGCGATTACTCCGGTCGGCATTGGGTACCTCGGAAAATAATCCATCTCTATGGGTGACAAACTAGGGGATGAATTTGATTTCGCCCACTTTCTGGTAACCGATTTAAATAAAACTTTGCTAATAGATTTAATTCCAAGAACTTTGGAGGTAGGTTTTTTATTTATAATAAACTAATTATTCAGAGTTACAATCTGTAATATGGAAATTAGCAGTCTTCTTAGGGTGTTGGTCCATGATTCGTACAAACATATTACATAGTAATTCTTAAGTTAGAGGCTTTAGTAACCCTGTACATAAAATAAATTTAGTAGCAGTAGAGCTCTTTGTGAAAGAGTTTGTCCAGGGAAATACTGCCACCTTACCTATTTCTGCCGCCAAGCAGTAATCTCAACATTACTGTGTTCTGGTTTTGAAGGGTAAAGCTGCTGGTGAAATTGCAGGCACATGGGACTTGTCAACTGATGTTTCAAGGTGACGGGCGCAGTGGCAGTGCCCCTTACAATGTTGCGATTTAAAGCTATGAGTGGCACTGCAACTGTTATGCACTAGCGTGTAGCTATACCATCAGGCGCACGACTTGTTCGTCACGTCACTTTTTTAAAACACATATTATAAAAAAATGAAGCAGCAGAATAAGTAGGATTTTTTTGTTAGATATGTGGCTCAAGTGTAGTCATCTATGGACATGTGGCTGAGTGTGACTCATTAGTGTGACTAGTTTGAATTGACTTTTTTGCGATATGACTTTGTTAGTCACAGTAGATAGGCAAAATAATATACTGTTCTATTGTAAAAGATAATTCAAATAACTGGTGGCCAGAACCTACAACATGACAATAATTATAACTTTTCATAATTTACAATTTCATTATGCAGTTGTTGCTACAGTGCGTGAATACTGTTAGTTATTTTTAGCAATAAAAGATGTCAGTTAAAATTATTTGTAATAATAAGCAACTTAAGTTATTGTGTTTTACGACATACTTACTTTACAACATTCTAGATACGGCAATGAAGATAAACTAGCAGGGGTGTGTGGTGTGATTCAAGCTCTTGTCAGTGTAGTAGAGGACCAGAATCAAGATATACTCCGGTCTATTACAACTAAAGACTGCAAAGCAGTGTTCTTGGTCAAAGGTCCACTTATACTGGTTGCTGTATCTAAGTCTAATGAAAGTGAAACACAGCTGGTTTTGCAGTTAACGTGAGTATTTATGAATATGATCGTAGTATAATGTTAAACGCAGTTTTTTTGGGCCGCTAAATGCATGGCTTTGTTATTAGAATAGAACAGAAAACGTTTATTTGCCAGAATACAGTAATTACACAGATCATAAATAAAAGTAGGTACATTGTATTCAACCTGCAAGCAGGTGTGCAAATGCTGTAATTGAATTAAATATTTTGGCCTCAAAAATTAATTGCATTTCAAATTAATATAAATTGGTATATCATTTCACCACATGTATTAAAATATAAAGGATTTTATCACAATTTTTCACATTGTTCACAAATACACAGATGTCCCTAATATACATGCAAAGCCAGTATGTTTAGTTTTTGAACAATGGTTTGCAGCTATCATTGAACCGCACACCACAGATTGCTTATTCGAGCACTTCTAAACCTTGAATTATTACATTTATGAGTATTTGCGATTTGCGAGCAGTAGTAATAGTTAAATTGGCCACTGTATTATAATTTAGGATAATGGTACAAGTAGTCACAGGGGCACTGTTCTCAATAAAAGAATAAATATATCTTTTAATATTAAAAGAATTTGAGTTAAATGATTCTATTGAATATTGTATATTTCAGGTACGCATTCAATCAGATTGTATCTGTTTTGACTTTGACGCAATTGAACCGGATATTCGAACAACGACGCAATTACGACCTGCGGAGGTTACTTAGTGGAGCTGAAAGGTTGATAGACCATCTTCTCATATTTATGGAGAAGGACCCAGCGTTTTTATTAGGTAAGCGATTTATTTTGCTCTTTTTTTATTCTCGTCATGTCAAAGATTTTTTTAAATTATAGATATTTTGAATAATTTGTTGCTGTCTTGATTGCGCTATCTGTGGCCGCTTTGAGGTTTTCCACGTGCTGGAATTTGGGCGCCAGCAACTTCTGCATTGGCTGTGTTAGAGCATCGCAGTTAAAACAAACGTTAGTAGTATTCTTAGTTGGCTGTTTAACTATAGCATTTGTGAACCCCGATTTACATTTCTGCTGTTGCTTCGTTCGACTTCTACACGGACTACGTTTGCAACCTGATTCTTAAGAATGAGAAGTTCCCTGTTCAGATTGCGGTTTAGGAAACAAAGCTTTTTAAAATTTTTTTGAATATTTTTAACTGAGTTCTTAGGTTTTCGCGATTGTAACACATAGGAAATGAAACTATTTTTCCGGATTTAAATCGCGTATGTTTATTTTTTCAAACAAACCTTTTTCTTCAAATCTCCTTAACTTTACCTCCAATTTAAAATTTTTATTGAAATGATATTCAATTATTTTTTGTCAAATTACTCCACTAGTTTGTTATAATTATTAATACAAAGATCGAACACTCAGAAAACCTTTACCTTTAGCTCCAATTCCTTCGACAATTCCGTAATCTGATTGTCAAACGTTTGAACTGAATAACGGTTATTGTGTATTAATTTGCACAATAATTTCTTACTGCGATCACTACCTAGTAGATGTCTCTTCGCGGAGTTATTTTAACGCATGTTGGAAGTATATTATTGTCGCGGCACTTTTTGAGAAAAGTTAATGCAGTTAGGGCGCGCACACGTTTGTTCTTGAGGTCTTCGAACCGCCGGATTTTATTTGCAACGTCCAGTCCGTACTGGTGTACATATAGAGTTCTTAGATTTTCGCGATTGTTACACATAAGAAATGAAACTATTTTCCCGGATTTAAATCGCGTATATTAATAGTTTCATTTCCTATATCTTTAACTGGTCATTGTTAGCTCTTTGTTTTTGTAGTTTACTTTAAAATAGACACTGAAATTATAATTGGGGTTGCCAGGTGGCTTTTTTATCATACCAAGTGACGGGACGAACAAGTCGTGCGCCTGGTGGTAGGCGACACACCTATCCATAACAGTTGCGGTTAAAATTTCAGCTTACGCAGCACAGCGTTCGGAAATTTTTACGGTGTCCGAAATTGCCTGAAATGTAACATTCACGGGCTGACACTTATATGATTTATTTGCACATTTTCCAGGCGCTGTAAGGTGTCTACCGTTACCTGAGAAAGCAAGGGAAAACATAACAAGTGCTATAATATCAACATGTCACAAAATAAGAGATCTCGTATTCGCCATACTCATAGCTGGCAATCAATTGATAACACTAGTGCGAATGAAGAAGTATACATTACATCCTTCTGATATACATTTGTTGTTCAACTTGGTGCGAAGTTCGGAATCTTTCAAAACAGCTGAAAGTTGGACGCCGATTTGTTTGCCCAAGTTTGATGCTACGTAAGTTTGTTTTTGTTTTTAAATAGGTTCTTAATGGATTCCTCAGACAGAAAGTGGTCAGATGTTGCGTTGTTGTGTGCGGTGTGTGTAATTTATGAATTTATTGCATTTGAAGGCATGACGCGAAAAAATGAACTCGTGATTCCCTTCTATAACGGAATTTCGAAATTTATTTTTACTAACTCACAACACGATCTCGAATTTACGACGTCAAAATTTTATACCAGCGCCACCGCTACAAATTCAAATGTGACCCAGGTGACTCACGTCTATAATGAAATTTTATGATCGCTATATATAAGTCAAGTATTCACTCTAAATCGTGGTTCATTCTATCACTAAAGAAATACCACTATAACAAAATAACTTAAAGATTTTGAGGTCGCATGACAAACACTGGAACTTCCACAAAATAATGTTAGGTGAATAGACACGAATTTTTGGCAGTTAATTTTTTTATTTCTTTATTTATTCAATTTCAAGAACAATTTTACAAAAAACGACTCTTTTTTTATCGCTAGGTAAAAACTTAGTGGTTTAGCCACCTGGTTGTGCTAACAAGCTTGACACTTAAATTAACTTACAATTCACTATAACATTAATTAATTTTAGTCTACCAAAATTTTATACTCTATTCCCTGGACTTTAAGTTGAAAATCAATTGAGGAAATCTGACAGTTTGTGGCGGCCTGATGTGCTGCCGACTGTACATTGCAATTAATTAGATAGGTATAATATAAATTTTAGTCTATATGTCTACATTTAAACAAGTGCTATAGATATTATACTACAAACCAAGATAATGTCTCTTTAAAACAGTTTTGCATTTCTTGACAACATTCTCAATGTCACTTAGCACTGTGCCTGGTAGATCGTTCAGAATTTCTGGTAGCATGTAGTCCGGCCTGCGCATTCCATATAAGTTATTGTATCCCGTATGTATATTGTATACCCCGTGTATGTATATTGTATACGTATCATCTTTGTACGCAAAGGATACGTTGGTATGTATGAAAGCGAGCGCAAACGTTCAGAGCGCATTCGCTTTCGCAGATTATGTTTCAAATGAAATTCAAATGATGACAATATTTGCTTGTCGACCAAAGCAATTAGACATACATTTAAGAAAAATATTGTTTATAATAAGGCCTGTAAAACTCTGATTTCAATGTCTTCCTCGTAATGTCAATTCCTTCGGATTATTCTACTCTATCTGGGAGTCACGCCTCTTAGTGAGAGTGCCATGGGCACACGCGTAGACAACTACAAATTACACCCAAACTCACGAGAGAAAATGTAGAACATACAAGGATTTCTCATCGGGAATCGAGCCTCTGCGTGGCAGACCAGTATGGTAACTGTTCGGTCACGGAGGCAGTATTAACGTTAACCCATTCTATTATTAAGCTAATTGACTTGCCCTGTGTCTTTATACACCCCCTGAGTTCTTATTCACCCTCGATTCTTTTTATCCGTTTGACATTACTGTTTTTTTTTCCAGAGGATTCCTACATGGTCACGTCTCATACATATCTGAAGACTGCCAAGCCTGTTTACTACTTCTAACAGTACAAAGAGACGCCTTCTTTCCTCTTTCGCAAGCCAAACACACCATTGCTGAGAAACTAAGGAGATCAAATTGCCTAGTCGCTATCAATGACGCATTAAACAGAAAAGAAGAATTGCCTACGACGAATCCTTTGAAACACATCGGGATATCTGAGATACGTCACTTTATGTACAAGTGTAAATCGACTGCGCAGTTGTTTACTTCAGATCCTATTAGCTTGGATAGATTACAGGATTATAGGTACGAACTCGGTGGCTGATCAGCAGTAATCGGAAGGGTCTGTTCCAAATCAGATAAATGTCTACATGGTTAAATCACCAAATTAGCGATGCGCGATTTTGAATGTTACTAATAATTCGAAAGTCACGCGCAATCATTCGACTTGAATCTGACTCGAATGATTGCCGAATGGCCCTGCCATTCAGTCGGGTGAATGAGTCGAATTATTATGTCGGAAGTACTACTACTCTACCAGATCATTTACTACTCTATATAAAAATATCCCTGCCCCCGTCACATTTACGGTATTTACCTTACGTCAGAGTGGGCTAGGTGATCACGAGTATCGTTTTGCTCTATAGAATCTATGGATTAGTAATGCATGATCGTTCAGTAGGTTACTAATTTGTCATTCGAATGACAGGATCAGTAATTACCAACAAGTCGAATATCGAAATCATTCGTTGTCGCGAACTCCGAATTTCCTGAAATAGCAAATTATATTTAGCACATTTATCAGCAGTAGAACTCCTTGTGAATGGTACTGCCACCATACCTATTTCTGCCGACAAGCAGTAATGAGACCATTACTACGGATTTGAAGAGTTCTGCTGAAACTATAGGCACACTTTATGCCTCAGAGTGACGGATACAGTGGCAGTGCCCTTTTAGAGCTTTGCGGTTTAAAGCTCTTGGGGGAACTACAACTGTTATGGGTAGGCGTGCCACTGACAATGATATCATAAAAAAATGTGTTATTTATTTAACTTAAACATATATTTTTGATAAAGCTCTCACATTGTGAGATTTTTTACTGATAATCTTTTACTGCATCGTAGGATAAAACTACCCACCTAGCAACCTGAAATTGGATTTTAAAATAATTCTAGTGGCGCCATGTAAAAAAATACAGTAGATAACCTTTCACCAAAGTAAACATTTGTGTCAAACCTTGTGTCATTTGGAACAGTCCATTCCGACCACTGCCCATCAGTTAACATACTAGGCGCTATTAACGTGATCTGGATTGATTTTTCAGTATGAACAATTTAGGAAACGAACTCTTCATTCATATTCTTTATTGACTCTGCAGCTTATTCTTACTAGCTTTCGACAATGTTGCCGTTTAAATTACTGTTTCTACTGATAGATATTAGAAGATTGCTTGAAACTGTGGTCGCATTTCTGAGCCAAAAAAAGACTATATCAATGTCAACGGACTGTTGCTTACTCGGTTAGCTGTTCTGGGTGTGTTAACATTTCTCTGGTTTTTTCGCACATTTTGAATTCGCTATGATGTGAGTATCATAGCGAATTCAAAATGTGCGTTTGAAGTAAAGTTTTCTACGATATTTTCATATTATAATATATAATTAATCTCTACTTTCCTTTATTTTCACTACAAGAAGACAGACGTTAATAATAATAATGTTGATCTATTTTTACTAAGAGTTTGCGATTGATAAGAAATTTCATTCGTTGTTTTGTGAGGTTTTCATTAGTAGACATAGAAATGAGACTCCAGTGACTATTATAAATTCTGTTATAAAATCTTTTCATTGTAAATCCAAATAAAACAAAACCACGTCTCTTCTAGGCAAAGATGTTTTTCGTAATGGCGGCCGCCCGTCAGCGTTTGATACTATTTTCAGTAGCCCTTCGGTTTATCCTGTGGTCGCTTAGTGAGGAAGTTCTTTATGAGTTGGATAATGAACTTTGAATTGGTTCTAATTTGGGTGTTCTGAGGTTCCTGAAATGATTTCCTTTGCTCTGGTACTGGTTCAAGAGCTCAGTTTATACTACCCTTTAGAAAGCCCTTGCACATTGAACGTAAGAATAATAACTATTACCATAACTGTATCGATTTTTTACCGCATACCTTTTTTGGTAGGAAGCAAAAAAGATAATGCGGTATTTTTTTATTTTTTTTGCTACGAACCCGACTTCACAATGAAGGTACACGTTGAAAAATCCGTGAAATTATATTAATAGTTATGATACATTTTTATTTACAGAATAAGACATAAAGAAGGCGGCGACATAAGGGAAGAGAGAATAGAGAAAATGTCGGACACAGACTACATTAAGCACTACAGAAAATTTTGCAATCAAATTCATTGTACGTCGACACCAGCTAAACTAATTTTTAGATCAAACGCTCATGATACGGTTTTGGCTTGGGTGAGTCTTTGTGTTTAGTTCATATATTTATGCCCCAGCCTGGGACAAAACCTTCTTCTCACAGACCTTTCAACTTCGGTTATGCAAGCCGAATCAATGGGAGATGCCACTACACCAACTATCTAACTCTAGCTTGAAAGCTAATCTGAAGTCCAGAATGAAATTTCAACCAATTCATTCATGTTTCAAAAACCATTTCTGTACTTGAAACACAGAACAGGTTTGGAAATATAGGATTTGTCATTTAGAATTATGTATTAAAGACTTATGTGTACTACCACGGACCAATAACTCAAGAAGACAGCTAATTTCCATAGTACCAACAGATCGTAACTCTAAAAAAAGTCAAAATTCCGATTTCTAGATGGCGCTGATCAATAGTTTGGATGTCGTTTATATTATGTAAATGACCGTGGATATCAATTAAATCCTCTTTAATATGAAATATACGAATCCGTTTTTACTTCGTTAAAATGTTGTTAAAATATAAATAAAATTAAGAAAATAAATAACACAAGCGTAAGTACAGTCACAAACTACCACCGAAAATATTCCCGCGGCAGCGTCGGGCAGTCAACATTTATGCGGAGGGAGGGTGGAATAATTAACTGCATGATAAAATATTCAACACAAGCGCAGCTATTTTGCACGATTTAACCTTCACTGGGTTCGCGGAGTAGCAAATTAATTTACTTCCATTTTTATTTACATGGATTTTCGCCGAAGTACCGCCTGAATCTATTAATTAAACAAATTAGTTACAAAGATAGCAACATGGTACTCGTCGCGACATCTGGTGTATTAATAGGTACTAAATACCCGACTACACTGTCTTGTATTGCGATTAGCATTCCTCTTGAGTTATTGCTCAGTGGTACTACTAAGTAGCTAGTATTAGAGTAGGAATTTTCAATTTACAAAAGTTCGTAGCTTATATAGATTCTATTGGCATCGTACCTGGATTCTCGAACAGAAAACCCAAAAAGCATTGGTGGTTAACCAATGTCCGCTATGTCACTGACGACATTATAAAAATTTACAGGTAACAAACGGTTTCGAACTATACGTAACATTTGATCCTCTGATGGAGAAAGATCAAGCGATAAAAGCAGTCGACCGCCTTCTTCGGTGGATTAAGAAGGAAGAACAGAGAATATTCATCATGAACGCTCCTACGTTCTAGCAGAGGTTTTCGGCTTTTGGCATTATGAGGAACACTGTGAGACACTCAGTGGAAGAAGTGGAGTGTTTGTAAAGATTGTTTTATTAAATAACTGTTCGGTTAATAAAGCATAACAGGTTCTTCAACACGTCGTGTTGCCGGTAGAGTATCGTATAATAAAACAAGTATGGTAACTATACAAACGTAGCAGCGCGCCGTGTACGGGCGCACATATTTGCATAATCTTCCCATACACTTGCGTTGCATAACACTGGTCATCCCAACGCGCCTTTCATTATTATGCTAATGTGTGCGTTTTTTACTTCATACGGAGTTTCCGTACTTCTTTTATTTTACATTGGTAGTAGTTAGTTCTTAAAAGTTCCTTAATATGGCGTTCGAAACACCAATTATTAACAGTATTTTATGCTGACACTTGTTTTGTCTCTTTCACGCTTTAAACTTTGTAATAGCTATTCCGCCACGTGCTCCTCCTTCCAATAGCTAGTTGTGGAACGGTGTGGGATGAGTTTGCGATCTCAACCAATAGCAGAGGTCCCGTGATTTGTAGTCCGCGCCATTGGTTAATATTTTAGGAGAACTAAATCACGTGAGTAACGTCTGATTGGGCGAAAATGTGCGCGTGCTGCAGCCTATGCGCGGTGTGCGTCTTTGAAAAGTTATACACACAATGAACTCATAAAATAGAGATTATTTTTATACAAAAACATATATAAAGTTTATTAAATTGAAATTTCAACGTGTAAAGACTGACATGTTAAATAATAATATCGAATTATAGTGGAGATAGCAATAGCTTTCGAACATCTCGGCAAAAGGAGTTAATTATACAGTGTGTTGATTTGCATTCTCGCCATATTTAGGAAATTATTAATAGAAATAATGCTAAATCATCTAAAAATATAAAAAAAATACTCTGTTCAATATTGTCTCAAGTCGCATGCACCACACAAGGGCAGTGACACCGCCACCCGTTTCACCGAGCGATACGTAATCTTTCTCGATCGCTTATTTACCTATTTTTTTATTATTATGTACTAGTATTGTTATAATTTACTATTTATTTACATTAATTAGAAAAATTGACTGAAAAAAAAAGTTTTGTAACTTAGATTTGGTACTTACCAACTTTAGGTTACATGAATGAAAGTATTGCTAGAAGTACCTAGCTCCATAGCAGGTGGCTGGCGGAGCCACCACCAGCTATGCAGAGATTCATTTCAACATTAGACTCCACAACTTTGAAAGCAGAAACTTCGACACTCGTATAATCCGTGTAAACTAAACGTTTCACATCATGACACGCGTTTGTACTTGATGGATTACCATGCTAGTTCTTGTGAACATGGTAGCGGTTCTTTTTTGCACTACTGACTCTTGTTTACATACCAAACTACGTGGCATTTCGTGATAGACTAGAATGGAATGTATGTGGGATGTCAGCGTGACGTAGACGGAGTACGGGAAGCAAGGTCGACTGATCTACCAATCGCGCGCTCGATACGACACTCCCCCGCCGTCGCTACCTGCACCCCACCACCAAATAGATGTAAAATGCGTTTCTTTTTGCGCATTTAAGGTCATTGTTAAAAATTTTTGCAAGTGCCGTGCAAGTCAACGGACCTTTGGATCAAATGTGTTTACCGCAATTAAATAAAAAAATTGAATTTACGAATTTTTTTTCGATTTATTTATGTACTGATTTGGGTTAAGTTTCGGATATTGAATGACGTCTGTAAATATGGCGAGAATGCAAATCAACACATTGTATATAATATGTAGTTCTACTAATATTTGGGAAAAAGTAGATATTTAAATTGTCAGCGTTTTCGTAAAATGTTACCAAAATTGTATAGCCGAATGGTCCAAATGGTGGATTGAAATTATTTTTTTGTTAAAATTGTTAGCCATCCGAGTACAACCACCATCTGTAATTTGGATCACTCGGTCAGATAAAAAAATGTATATATATAAGTAAATCATATTTTTAATAAATTAATGAACTAATAGAAAAACAATATTTTGAACAAAATACCAAATACGATTTAATAATAATGTAATTGTGTAGTGTGGTTAAATGAAATTAGAAAATTTTATTGATTTGACACATTTGACATCTTATTGTTGTATTACACAAAGCAGTAGTTGTTTTGTACAAATTGTATGCATTTTTTACTTAAAAGTTTTTTTTTTATGCAGCACTTCTCTTCACGTTTTATACAACTTCAATGTACATTTTATTAAATTTGTTGTCATCTTAACGTTAAGGACAAAGAATACAAAGCTTTCTTCAGTACTTGTATATGTGTCAATTTTGAAAAGCTACTAAAAGAAATCATCATAAAGAGAGCTAAGTATGTATTATGAATATGAAAAATATCTAGTTCTTAGGTTATCGCGATTGCCACACATTGGAAATGTTGCTACTATGCTATGACTTTTTTGTGTTACTTTCTATTATTCAGCGCCGGCGCTAATCCATGTAGCGCTCGAGTAGCAATTAATACCCTGGCGTCTAGTAGACACGCGATCAAAATGAAATGCATATTGTTATATTTTCCCCAGTGACCGGAAATTCGGGTGCAAATGGTGCAATTATAAAAGATATTGTGAAGCAATAGCTCGTTTACTTCGCTTGCGACACGGGCTTTTTGGATGCGTCGTGAGCGGCGCTCGGTGCCCCCTACGGCTCAATTTACATTGCGGCGAAACGGAATGGAATGGAAGCGTCAATTTCGCCTCACTGCTCGAGAAGTTGCCGGAATACTGGAGCAGTCCAGCGACCGCGTCTTGAGGCTGTAGTATTTCGTCGACGTTTTACGTCACACTGATCATACCTTCGCGCCAGTTCCCGCGACTTCGCCAGCCGTCAGCGACGGCAGCTGCGGAATTCTCACGAATGCGCGAGCATTCTCGAGCATGCGCTAGAATTCCGCCGAATACGCGCGACGTGATTTTTGGCTCGTATCCAATTTATACGTTACAGAATTGACCATAAAGTTCATTACGCTATGTACACTCATGCAATATCGTTACAAAAATCGGATTCCACTCCGTGTCGCCGCTATATAAATTGAGCCTAATAGCTTGCGCCCGTGTGCGCCTCACACCTTGCACCACAGCCACAGATACCTAAAGCCGGCACTGCTAATATTTCGACTGAAGCACTTGAATAGTCATGAAATAAATTAAAAAAAAAAAAATCTTTTTTCAGTTCATCAGCCGTGACCAAGGGACCAGTTAAAAGCCCGAAACGTTTGTTTGTTTGAAAAACAAGTTACGCGACTTTAGAATCTTTAGATTCGAAATAATAGTTTCATTTCCAATAAAAAAATCTTGATTAATGATGTCCCTTATCTGCATTGAGTCAACATAGACTATGATGATGTCCCAACAAAATGTATTATGATCATCCACGCATCTACTATAACCTATTTTATGTTATTGAAATTCGAATATTAATTAAATAGATTTGTAAATAATTGAATAGCTTTTTACTACGGTATGACTTTTGATTCATAACGTGGTAAAACAAATTATAACCAATAATAACGGATTTGTGAATGAATAACGACGAGTTTTAAAATCTATATTGTTATATACATAATACGTTATCATTATTATCATTTCCGGTACTATTTTTCGAGCTTCTTGATTTTGTCATTTGGGTATTATGGAAACGGGCGAATGTATGATTACAGAAGAGGCACCAGTCCAGTTAGTATAGAAATCAATTCGTTAAGTAAATTATTGTTTGATATTACGTCAATAAAACATTTGAACTATTAAGCTACAAATATTAATCTATAAAAAATATATTTTTAGTAAAATATTTCCTGTTATTTTATTGTTGTAAATAAATTAAAATAACATTAGTGTACATACAACATGAATGTTCCATTTGTAAATAAACATTTATAAAATAAAAATAATATCGTGTTTAATAGCAATAAATGAATATATTTTATTTTAAATAAAATTTTTTGATGTATGAGTAAATAAAATGTCTACAGTTTTTGTTCTTTATTAACCGACTTCAAAAAAAGGAGGAGGTTCTCAATTCGACTGTATTTTTTTTTATGCATGTTATGCGATAATGAACTCCGGTATTTGTGAACCGATTTTCATGATTCTTTTTTGTTGGAAAGAGGGTACCTCCATAGTGGTTCCATTTAATTTTGAAGTAAATCATCCACCTCTAAGGGTGGCTGTTCACGCATGAAGATTCATTTTTATAAATAGCGCCTAAATTCTATTATGAGGAGCAATTATTTTAATGGTTGATTTTGCTATTCTTTAATTCAAGGCGTTTTTCTCTCTCAATATACTTTGAGTAGTGAGAACCGATTTTTATTGTCTCCTGTGTCAAGTTCCTTATAGTGGCGAACTAGGGGATGAATCCAGGTTTGCGCACTTTCCGGTAACCGATTTCAATAAAACTTGGTAATAATGTGTAATGCCACGTATTTTTGAGGTCGGTTTTTTTAGTACTTTGTACTGGGATTATTTTCTGTAAACTAGTAAACCCTTAATTGATTTGACGCGTTTTTTTGTCCATCTATTCATCTTTTTGTATGCTAAAGCCTTTTTACTTTTATCATGAAATTACGTGCAGGTCATCATGATCCAAAAATATAAATGGAAAGAAATTTAATTTTCGTGACTATAGAAAGATAGACAAAAAGTTTATATGCACTTCCATTATGATTTTGTTGGACAAGTCTATAAAAATTTTAATTAAAATGACAAGACCTCGTTTTTGTTTGAAGTTGCTGGCAGAAAAAGTGGAATTTTTTAGCAAACCCCTTAAATCTTCAACTATTCATGCAAAAAAGACTAAATTAATTGCATAGGGTGAGGAAGTGAAAGAAGTATATCAGAAGCTTAGTCAATGCTTACTGTAGCACCTAATGCATTCATATAGCATTAAAGTTTGATATTGACTTGATTAAACCAGATTACATAATGGCCACAGAATCATATTATGGACCTGCAATTCCTATAATAAATAATAATAAAACCACAATAGGAAATCCATTTTATATTGAACTTATTATAGTTATTATTCTAATATCGTCCTCTCCTCCTATCAGCTTCATGTCTCTCTCTTTCCCTCCGTTCCCTTTCTCGTTCTCTCTCGCGGTCTCGGCGCTCTCTGTCTTTCTCCCTTTCTCGTTCTTTTTCCCTTTCTCTTCTACGCTCTCTATCTCTGCTTCTGGAACGCTCGCGTTTGCGATCTTTGTCGCGACGTTCGCGTTCTCTGGATCTGCAAAATTGTCATTTATATTAATTTGATAGTTAACATATGGTTTGGCACCATGTGTTAACTATCACCTAAACCATAAAGCACCTACAGTTGAGTCAAACCATACATTTGTTGTTGAAGCCCTTGGGAGAGGCAAGTCTCAAATAGATATTCAAAATAATTTGCCGCAGAGGGAGACTACAGATGTGTTAGAAGGATGATATAAAGAAAGTGGCGGGATGGAATTGGAAAGGGATGGCACAGAACAGAGAAAAGTGGCAGAAACTAAAGGAGGCCTACACCAATATTGTTGAGAATGGCTAGAAAGAAGAAGAATAATAATAAACATTCTTTATTTCCTCCACAATATTGTAATGCAGCAAAATGGACCTAATGATTTGTACAAATAAAATTTGTGGTGACTGGAGCCTGAACTGGGATACCCTGTGATTTAAACTACTGAGGCTTCAACTCCAGTAAATATGAACATGTTGAAAAATATATAAAGGAATAGTACAAAATCAAAACAATTCCAAAATTAAGATAGGAAAAACTAACTAGCACTGCACTTCTTGATCTGTTGCAGCTCATAAACCTTGTATTAAATATACAGTGTTTTTTTTAACTGGGACAGTATGAGGAAATATGTAGGAGATACAGGAAACTTGTCTTAAGAACTAGTAAGTAATATTTGTAACTACAATTTTGGCAAAGTAAATTTATTGGTCAAGAGTGAGTTGTCCATAAAAATGAACAAAGTGGATTTTTTTTATCTCGGTTTCATGTAAGGATCATTTCACAGTATTACATTTACATTCAGCCTGATGTATCCCACTATTGGGCAAAGGCACTGTACTGGAAGAAAAAAATTGGGATAGCAGAAGTTGGTCAAAATTTCATAAATGTTATAGCATATTAATTGCACTTCTACATTTTGAGATGTAAACTTGCTAGTAGCAATGGTGCCCATTAAGCGTGTTGAATTTCCACTCATATTAGATTATAAACTGTACCATATAATTATATCCGAATACATAAATAGCTCTAAGAACTTAATTTAAAACTTACCTATCCTTTCTTCGTTCTTTATCCCTCTTATTATCTTTGTCCTTTCTGTTTTCTTTGGCTTCCACATCGGGATTCTCATCATCAGAGGGCATTTCATCATCTAAATCATCGTCTAGTGCAGAAACTTTTGGCTCCAGTTCATTATTCTCCTCCAGAATATGCCTTTTCTGTATTCTTGGCAGAATGACGTCGCATAAACGCTCTTCCCTCAACAGTTCGTCTATAAATTCATCCATGTGCACAATTTCGAACTGTCCCTGTCTATTTTGCCGCCGCAATTTTCGATTATCATTATATAGAGGCTCCAAATATTTGTAACAATCTACCGACGTCCCTGTGAGTCTCATGTAGAACGCACCCAGTGCCCGAACATATTTGAACTCTTCGTTCTTTATAAACTCGACCACAATGTCTTTTTCAGGTTGTATTTGTAGCATTTTTAACACTAAACACAGGAAGGGTGTAGGGTATATGAAGCCACCATGTACGCCTCCGACATAACGTAACTCCATAGCTTTGTCGACTAGTAACTCTGCGGTTAAAGCGAAACATTCTTCCTTCCAATATTTAGAGTCGTAAATACGTGATCTGATGATCTTTTCTATAAGATATTGCGGATTTGTGCCGCGAATAGATTTCGCGTCCTTCACTGTTCGGTTCGCCATTTTTTGTTTGACTTTACTTTTTTTTATGATAAAGAAATTCTTTTTTTTTTAATTTTGTCTATGCTAAAGAAAATGTATAAAACGAGCGGAGCGGTACATACATAATACGAGCGGTAAAAAAACTACTTTAAAAAGAAAGAGAAGCAAGCAATGTATTGGAAATTTTTCCGGTTTAAAAATATAATTTCGGAGGCTCATATTATCATCTACGTGTACAAATATCTTTTGAAGTTTTATTTAGCGTGAACTGTAAAATAAATTAAATCTGGGTTTTCTGTATGTGGTTTCTATTTTAAGAAACCACATACAGAAAACCCAGATTTAAAGTGTTTTTACAACAGCAAAACAAGCCTTTTTAATGGCTCCATCGTTCTTTTGTCAGATGTCAATGTCGAACATAGAAAATTATAGGAGACATATTTGTTTACTTGAAAAATATGTGCTTTTTTCAAAATGGAAATTTTTCCACGCCCCAACACTGATATTATTCAATTTTTCAAAATTTTGAGAATTTTTCCGGAAAAAATTCTCGAAAAATTACCCAAAAGTGCAATGTAATAGGTAACTTATTTTTTTAGATTATCTATATTATTTTATCTCATAATGATCTCATATTTTCTTTTATCCATTACAAAAAAAAAATCCACATAACATTAACATAAAAATTGGCTTGATAACCGCAAACTAACGTGAATGGTGACTTTGAATCGTAACTTCAATTAAATGCCAAACTGAATGTCAACAACAAACGCGCGCTTGTATTGTAAACGGTCATTGTTCAAAAAATAATGATATTTACAAGTCAATAATATTGTAATTGCTTGAAAATCCATTCCAACTTCGATTATCATATCATCCGTTCACGTGTAAGTTTACTACAAAATGCAGAAAACTAGAAAAAAAAGGAATGAACAAGACGAAGAAATGGAGGTCGAAGAATCTCCGGGCGAAAACGGCGGGACCCAAATTTCTGACCAAGATTGCCTGATAAACGGCGATCTTGACCACATATCCGATGATGAGGAAGGGGGCGTGCGGATTGGTGAGATTTACATTCCTCCTGCACCAAAACCTGCACTCACATTTGATGCTACGGGACCAAGAATGATTATAACCCATATTGTGAATGAGAATTTCAAGAGTTATGCAGGCATACAGACTTTAGGACCATTTCATAAGGTAATTATTTACTGCGCTCAGCTTTAGTACCTATAGCTGCCAATCTGCCAGAAAATAAATTTTAATAAAATTATATTTCAAATTTCAGAGTTTCACAGCAATAATAGGACCCAATGGCAGCGGTAAAAGCAATGTGATTGACTCAATGCTCTTTGTATTTGGTTACCGAGCCTCCAAGATTCGGTCTAAAAAGATTTCGGTCCTCATTCATTCTTCAAGCAAATTTCCTAATGTTCAGAGTGCCAGTGTTGCTGTACATTTCTGCCAGATTGTTGATGGGGTAAGTTCTGTTATTTATTTTGTTTTTCTACCTTTTTTCCTGGCTATGTATATTCCATATGTTGTACTGCGAAAACCAATCTGGAATTTTCATAGAAAATGACTTAATATTGGATAACACGACAAAACTGCTTATATAAAATGCGAATTTTTCAAATTTAGGTTCACAGTTTCATGTTTCAACATGAAATGTGGAATTGTCTGTTAAAAATTAACATGGGATGACCATGGTATGCATAAGAAATAGTCTTCGTTGAAATTTCAATTGCATTTATTTCACAGTTGATATTTTGTGAAACAATTGTTTTTTCCAGTATAGCATATATGAAGAGCATATAATTTCCTTTACTTATGGAGTTAATAAAATTTTTAACAAGGTTTTGTCTCTGTTGTATTTATGCTCCTATAGAATATGTCTGCTAAATTTGAAAACCTTATAATTACGTTTTTGTAACCAAATTCAAGACGACAAATACAAAAGACGGGCGGAATGTGGCTATTGTGCAGGTGGCAAATAACAGTCACACGTGGTACTTTATAGGCAACAATTGAAAAATTCCTTTGATTGGATTTTTGCATAATTTTGCTGTAAATAAGTTTTAAATAAAGTTTTATTAATGCCTAATATTATTTTTTATCAAAACTCAATAGTCAAGAACAATTCAGGATAAGAAATGTTCCAATTTTGCAAACATAGTTTTTTAGTGAAATTTACTCCATTTGCACATTAATAGCAATAATTTCATATTTACATTAGATACAATGAGAAATGATATCATTTTGAAATCCTCATTAAACCTACATTATTTTAAAGTACTTGGCCACACAGGTCGTCATACTTTTTTTTTATACAGAAGGTGCGTAAACTTCGTAAAAAATAAATTATTTCTCTGAAAAATGAAGTTAAACTTTTTTTTTTTAAATGTACATTACTTAGTCATACCATTTACTGCTTATCTAAGGACACAGTTACCGTAGAATATTATGACACCAAAAAACCAAATAAATTCATTCATTTGTAGTCATAGTGCACAAAAACCTAAAATAAGATAAAAATAATTAACTTTTAAGAAAAAAAAAACATTCCTTAGGTACTACATGGGATAGATTTTTTTTGCATTTTTTTTGGAACAGTCTTAAGCTGTGGTCTAAGCCATTTCAGTATGATACGTTCATTACCGTACACCCTGTATAGTCAAAGTCTTGACTCATGTCAAATCATATATTTGTTCATGTAATTGAAATCGAAATTGGACAATTTACAATTACAAGGTACGTGAAAATCGAACAGCACTATGATCGCACACCATAAGCGCCATATACTTGGAGAGAGAGATGTTGGTTTAAACTCCGAACACGCGGTTTCAATGGCCGCACTATAGTCGATATTAACAGAATACTAAAGCACAGTGTCAACATGTATGACTTGTGAATACAAAGTTGCTGATTTGGGCCCCAAGTCCGCTAATTTTCTTGTTACATCGGATCATTGTAATGCCATAGCGACTCCAGTGAGGTTATATTGCATTTATAATAAAAATATTTGTTATTCTGCTAAAATCTAGTTGCAATGGTATCGAGTATGTAACCAGAAATAGAGACGAAATAATGACCATCCATCCCTGGCAACTCATCACGCAAATCGGCCTTATATCACTTTTAAATATCAACTCTCGTTTGAGCTGAAATCACAAATTAGAAAGCTGAAATAGCACAGCGCCAACAACTGACCTGTGTGTACGTCGCTGTATATGCCAAAAATATTCTGTATTTATTGTAATAAAGATAATATCTCTAACAATGGGGGCTGTTCCATTCGGTGGTGTGGGAAAAACAGCAAAACTCAATTATTTTTTGTGAAATTACTCCACTAGTTTGTTATAATTATTAAAGGTGACGAAATTATTTCATAGATTTGTCATAGATGGCGCTACGTCTAAAAAGTCGTTGAAAACCAAATACAAAGATCCGACAAATAAGCACATGGATAAATTCGTGAGGTCCGCTGGTTCGTTCCTTGGCTTAGCGTCTGGCACGGTTTACATGACATCGGTTCGAATCCGGCCGGATCGAAGGGATTTTTTCGAAGTGTTCGATCTTTGTATTAATAATTATCTAATTACAAAATAAGAATCACATTTCTTCGGTAACTAAATTGGTAATTTTTAAATTTTCGTCCAATATAGCAAAGCTCAAGTCGAACTGGTCGATTTGAAGTGAAACAATTGACGACACCCGTCAGTTGTTTCGAATTCGGGCTGGCCAATCAGATCGTAGTTGTCACCGTAATGATTTGGCAGAATCGTTTTCAAACAAATTAAATGACATTTTGTCTCTATTTCTGGTTATATACTCGACGGTAGCGGGCATTAGTTCATTCAATCAATAACGACCGATGTTGCCGTATTATCGTATTTTTATCTTGTTTAATCAGTAATTTAGTTTTCAAATTAAATGTTTTTATTTTATATCACATCATTAGTACACTACGCCACTGACGTGCCATTGATTCGCAATTGAAGAGCAAAATACGAAAAAAGTGCAATGGCAGTTCAACAGAAGCGACACGCCTATTCATAACAGTTGCAGTGCCACTCAGTGCTTTAAATCTCAAAGAGGGCCACTACCATTGCGCCCGTTACCCTGAGACATAAATTGACAAGTCCCATGTGCCGTAATTTCACCAGCCCTTACTCTTCAAAACTGAAGCGCAGTAATGCTCACATTACAGCTTGGCGGCAGAAATAGGTAAGGTGGCAGTACTTCCCTGGACGAACTTTCACAATGAATTCTACTGCTACTAAAATAAAATAAAAAGATATATTTAAGATAAAGATATTTATTCACTCTGACGAAAGGGCCATTGTTTACAATATAAATTGAATATCGGATAAATTAGATTAAAAGTTACCTTAAGCGTGAGACTGGAGTCCATACCAGATAGCTAGACCTGTCTACTGATCTCCTGGCTCTCACCCTTAAACGAAGCTTTTTTTAAAAATAAATGTAGTATTTTCCAAGGCTTATCCCCAAAAGCCGATCCCTTGCGGTATCCGTTTTATTTTAAATTATTGTCTATTCTCCCCTGATACCCTGATGTTTACTAGTTTATTTTTGGTAGGTGCTTTTTCTCTTGACTGTACTTATCTTACAAATACAATGAGGGGATCCGTTGGAAGTTGCAAAATATAAAGATCAGTTGCAATTTAAAATGTGTGGAATAACCCTTTTCCGGCTTTTTCGTAGTGTACTATTTTCGAAGGTATCGTTTATCGGCTTTTTTCATGCAAAAAGACGGCGGTTTGACCTTTATGCCCCTTTTTCCACATTTGAGATCACACATGCTGTCGTAAAGCCTGCCGTTGCTACCGCATAATCGCATGTCGGGTTTGCAACCGCAACGCCCGTAAACTTGCGCCGGTGAATATAGTAGAATAAGGATGACGCAACCTGGAACGGTCATATTTCATGAGGCAGAATAGCGACACTAACATTGCCCTCCTTGTCATCACTAACATAATATACACGCACGGATCAGGCACGCCAACACGCGCGCTCGCGCACACGCAAGTACTCGCAACCGCTGATTTCATATGTAGGTACTTAATTATTACAATAAATCCAAACTCATAATTCAAATGACAGGATTATCCACTTTTCGTTATTGTAAATTAGAATGCAATCAGACGGTGTTCTGTTTAAAAAAATTGCTTTCACGGAACCTTACTAAGCAGAATTTGATTCATCATCATATCTCAATCACAATCAACCCATTTATACGTCCCACTGATCACGAGTCTCCTCTCTAGCGAGTGTTTAGGCCATAGTCCGCCACGCTGGCCCAACGCGGGTTGGTGAGTTAAAACTTTATCCGAAGGTTGTGAATCATCTTCGACGTTTCGTCACGATGTTTTCTTTCACCGAAAAGATCATATTAAATTTCAAATTAAATTCCGAGAAACTGCAAGCCCGGATTCGGGCAGCAGCAGGAATCCACGGCGCGGGCGTTTACTTACGGGCGGTAGATCAAACCATTAGGTTACCACTGCTTCCTACGCTTGACATATGAAGAAACCAGTTAAAGAATTATCAAAGTCACTGGAAAAACGTTTAGAGTTAATACCGCCATCCAGTTCGATAAACGCTGAGCGTACTTGCCTAAATCAGAAAAAGGCTAATAAGTTTCAATGTCCTTAAAAATTACCTTTTACTTTTAGTCATAAAATGCTTGCGACTAAATGGTTAAGTTAAGAATGATGTTATAAATGTTTTTTGTTAAAATTGATTACGTAGCATTACATATATTTATGTCAGCATTGACTTTATTTAAGGAAGTATTTGTGCGTATCTTTTTCACCAATATTTAAAAGTTCTTCAAATTAAAAATTATTTATTTCCGAAAATTCTCCTCAAGTGACTTTGATCATTCTTTCCCACTCTTCATATAAAATTAATAATACTTTAGAGATATCGAGATTTGTATAAACTGTTTTTATTTAATTACGAAATGTACGCTCGATAATATAAAAAATCATCACTAACTTGTTTCATTATGTTTTGATATTATAATCTATATTATTTCCTCTATTTCACAAAATAATGGCGTAACGACTAAAGACTGATTTGAGTCACATAATAATATGCGAAAGACCATCCGTCTGATCGTCGCAAGACTCGATTTACAATGGAAAAGTAACATTTCGTGTACAATCCAATAAGAGAAGAAAAATAAAATACTTCTATATCATAAATTAAAAAACTTACCTAGCAATATAAGCAGTTTCATTTTTTGGCGTTTGTAATAGTTAAATTGGATAGGTGTATACGAGCGCTCAGTTAAATATTCGAGTAAATTTCATGTATTTTTTCGTATTATGCAAATTGTACAATTTAACATTTTATGGTACGACATGAAAAATCTGATTACACCGTATTTCTAAGTTCTAACAAAAATATCTAACATTATGTTGAAACACAATAACTCATAAACTCGTACATAACATAAAAAAAGAACGTCTTAAATTTTAATGGGCGACTACCAATGCCACTGAACTGAACATCTTTATGTAAGAAGCTTGTATCCATTTGAAGAAGAAATGTTTAAAATCTCTATACAAATTGAGAAATTTCGCACATTTAAACAAATACGCAAACGAAAATTTCGCTTTTTCAAATTTAAATGTAATCGCCATTTCCCGAAGTTGATTTTTTAGTTTAATGACTATTGGTTTCAATGTGCGATCCATATTATTTTCCACAATGTTATTGTATGGGAGGAAGAAAGAATATCGCGAATTAGACAAGTCTTTAGGAAATGTAATAATATTCGATTCATATTGATCACTGTATCATGGACGGAATCATTCCATCATATTTACAACAGAATAAAAAGAATTTACTGCAACGTCACAACAACATAAATTCACAAAAGAAATTATAAATAAAAACAAAATTACATCAAGAAACAATGAACAAGCGATACAATTTCAAATATTGTCGTGTGTACTACAAATACTGTGGCGTACGCATTATTATCTACTCCATTTTTTTATAATATCAAGTGACGGGACGAACAAGTCGTGATGGTAAGCTAGACGCCTGTCCTTAATAGTTGCAGTGCCACTCAGAGCTTTAAATCATAAAGATCTGAGGGGCTCTGCTACTGCGCCTGCCACCCTGAGACAAGTTGACAAGTTCCATGTGCCTGTAATTTCATCCGCAGCCTTACCCTTCAAAACCGGAACGCTACTGCGTTACCATGCTAACCATTACTACTTGGCGGCAGAAATATGTAAGGTGGCAGCACTTTCACAAGGAGTTCTACTGCTGCTGCAATACAAACGTGGAGTGTGCTTGCCCGCCTCGATGTATTTATTGTTTGTAGTAGTTTGAACAAGAGTCTCTCAAATTCAGAATTGTTCAGCATTTCACTTCTATTTCATAATCATATTACTAATGCTGGTATAAAAGTTTTACTGCCTCCGTGGCCGAACGGTTACCATGCCGGACTGCCACGCAGAGGTCCCAGGTTCGATTCCCGGGCCGGGAGAAATGTTTGTATGGCCTACATTTATTTCTCTCGTAAGGTTGGGTGTAATTTGTGGTTGTCTATGTGTGTTCATGGCACCCGCGACACAGGGTTTCCCTAGTGCGGGGCTATGTTGAGTGTGTGCGTTATTTATAAAAAAAAAGTATCTGTTCGTAAGGAATGCATTTAACAAAGATTATTTCAATGTACAGTCAAGGCCGTTCTTATCGTAAGCGGCATACAGTTGGATTCAAGTCTTAAGTGTCAAGCTTGAGGTGCTCTTTATCCTGTACTATTTTCGAGAACACTGCGATGAATTTCTTTTGCGATGACTTTCATTTTTTAACCTACTACAAAAAAGGAGGAGGTTCTCAATTTGACTTTACGCGATTACTCTGTGAAACGATTTTGATGATTATTTTTTGGAAAGGGGGTACCTCAGTATTGGTCCCATATAAATTTGAAGAAAATTTTCCACCACAGAGGCTGGCAACTTAGGAGATGAATCCGGTTTTTTTTTTCAATAAAACTTGGCAAATAGATGTTGTTATTTCACGAACTTTTGTCATCGGTTTTTTTATAAAAAATTATAATTATCTAGAATACTATGATGAACATCTTAATTTTTTCAAATATATCTTTACAACCTGTAAGTACAACTAAAATTATAATGTAACAACCCTACGCTCCGAACGCAGTGTAGACAATTACACGTTTAACAGCTCCGTATCTTTCTACTTTAGTTTTGATTATAGTGACCCTCCCTACCGACTCATATACCCTAATACGAGAAGGGCACTCTAACCTGTGCGTGGACAGGAACCTTATAAATTCAGGTTCTGACCCCAGATCTGCCAGTGTACAGGGTTGTCACAGACCTCTGTCACTTGACTTCATCCGGTTCTCGAGAGGCTAGTGCCTGGGTGGAAGTTGCCATACTTATCTTATTATACTATGTTAATAACTTAATAAACCTATGGGACATGTTATTGTCTCATTCAGCTAAAACCACAGCCTAGACTAGGCTGTGACACTGGTTCTCAGGAAGTCCTAAAGCCGAAAGAGTAACACGTGTGTGTTGAAATAGCGAAATAAAACAAACTTCTAGGAAATGAAACTATTTTTCAAACAAACCAACATTTCGCCAAAGTTAGCCCTGACCAAGACCACGGGACCTGTAAATGGCCCAAAACGTTGGTTAGTTTGAAAAAACAAATATATACGCGATTGAGATCCAAAAAAAAAATTGTTTCATTCCCTTTGTGACGTGGTTCATAGTGTTCTTGCGGTGTCTGAATTGTATGGAAAACTTAATCAATTTACAATACATGTAGTTTTATTTCTCACGTACTTTTTTATGCATGTAAGTCTATAACTATAGGAGTTATGACTTACATGCATACAATAAAATCTATTGGAATGTGACGACCTCGGTGGCCCAACGGTTTGCACTGTGAGCGCTGCCGCTGGATGAAAGGGTTCGATTCCCGGTAAGATCAATTTGGGAAATGAACTTT